ATTATTTGGGTGTCCCTTTCAACATGACTTTGCTTATATCAATGTTAATATTAGCCAGAGAAGTTCTAAATCCTTGAAGAATAGAGAGTGCATTCATTTGCCTGTTTTAAGACATATCATCCAAAAACTGAAAATTTAAAAGGCCCCAAACTTTAATTTCTGAGATTTAACATTAGCCAGACCTCTCTGGCTTATAGACATGCTCTCCTAACTACATGGTACAAAGGCCAATTACTTTGTGTTCATTTCTTTTTCCAATAAAACATATTTGTCCTCAAACTTTCTTAAATGGATTTACTGATACATTTTCCTGTTTACACACATCATGGCCAAAAAATAAAAATTATAAAATATAAGCCGTGGTCTGCAAAAATTCCTAGAGGCGACTGAGACTGTGAGTTACAAGACAGCAGGTGGAGAAAATGGAGTAGCACCACTGATTTTCACACAGGTCGCCTGAAAGAAACAGGTTCATTTGCTCTGATTCAGGTCAGATCAGGTGATTAAGGGTTTGGCTGGAGCCTCTCTTTGGCCCAACTCTGGACTAAATCTTATGCTAAACAGAGTGCCTGATGCAGAGTGGCCACATGATAAATATTAGTTACTGGGTGCATGGATGTAGAAGTACAGATTGACTTCCCTGACCTCAATCTAATATCCCTGGGGTACATGTTACTGGCCACTAAAAACACGTGAAAAGTTATTGACTGGGTGTGCCACCCCACTTCCAAACCTCATTCTAGGAATGAGGTCTAAAACAGAATCTCTTTGACTTCAGGTGAGCAGTAGAAACATTTTGTAACAAACTAAAACAACTGTACACAGATTCAACTGGAGAATGACAATGACCATTTTACAAAACTTTCAGATGAGAGGGAACCACATAAAAGAAGAAAAATGACCAACATACATCTCCGTCCAGAATGCCTCTAGGTCAGCAGTAATTATTTGCGGGGGGGGGGGGGTTGTGGTAATGAAAAGAGATTGCCTCCACTGAATTACTTTTAACACAGGTCCAAAGTGGTGGTGATGATGGGGTTCTTTAAATAGCTTCGAGAATACTGAGCTTTAAAAACACTAGGTGATGTCCTCAGCATCCCAGCCAAGCTCCTCATAGCAAATATACCAACAATCACAGCATTACTGTCATGGATATAAATATTCATATCAATAAATGGGATACTGCTGAATCCACAAGTATCGCTGGAATAGCCTACATACTGTCACTTCACCAGAGATACCTCTTTTATTTCTTGGGAAAAGTCTTCTGTAAGAGTAACATCCTCACAAAATAGTTTCCCATGTGCCGTTGTGTTGTGTCGGAAAAACCCATCACATATAGACTGTGATGAAGGATCCAGATTTCCTGGGCCCCTACAAAAGCCAGCAGACCTCATATTAATAAAACAACCAGGCAACTCACTTGCCTTCTTTGTTCAAGGGAGTCCTAACATCAGAGAAGATAAATATATCAATTCATAGTTTAGAGAAAGAAAGTGATCAAAAGACATACACAATTCACACCTCAGCCTGGGAAATCAAAAGGTTCATTTGTGTTTAGATCTAAACCTCTTGCTTTCTCTCCTTCCTCCTCCTATTCCCCCAACCCCCACTTCACTGTTTTATTGAGCAAGTTTCTCCATACAATCTCTACACTGAAATAATTTCATAGCAATTCCTGGATGCTGTACCCATAGACCTCACCCTTCCTTGGGAAGATGATCTAATAAATGCAACTGCAGGAGGAATAAAATGCCTATCTATCATAGTTCCTGAATCTTTCCAGAACCTGTAGATTCCATTCGTAACATGTGAAACCAACATACTGCTGCCACTGCAACTAGTGGTCTTATGAGTAGCTCTAGATTTTTTATTTTGTTTATTTAATCCTTTAGAAAACAACATAAGGAAGTTCTTATCCTTCTGGACATCTTATTTGAATTCCATTGAAATAAGCCAGTCAAGGAAAAGGGTTAATTTGTTATACACTGAACATAGTATCTTTGAAGTAGACACACACACACACTCACAGGAGATACTTTAATGTGGAAACAAAGCTGTGATAAGTATTATTTTTCTTATTTCTATAACTTTCTCAGGTGAAACCTTCCAAGCTGTATTTTTCAACTTTTTGAGTTAAGAATTAAGAAGATAAGCATGGTATTTCAAATCTCACCACCATTTATTAATGCTACAGATAGGAGGACTGTGTTTAACATTTCAGGATCTCTGTATTATCTGATGCTTCAAACTGTTTATCTACATTATCGCCATCATCTAATGAGACAAAAACTTCGTGGAGTGGCCCCTTCAGGTGTTTGAGTCAGTACCAGATCTTACTTAGGAGAATGCTACACTCTGCACTCTCTCAAGGAACCTTCAGCAGTTAAGAATTATCTTGATGTTCCTATTTATCTTGCATTTCTGATCTATCAATCTATGCAAAACCGAGGGGGTAGTGGCCAGATGTCTCCGGCATGGGGAGTTCAAGGAAGTGGGACAAACTGAAAGCAGGAAGGGAACTGCACTCAGGCATGTAATACCTTTTCTCTTCCTGGTGAGTGTGAGTTCAAGAGAGCTCATGGGGGAATCACTGTCCACACACAGCTTCGAAGGACAAAGCTTCTGGCTTCCATAGCCCATAATGCAACCCTAGCGATCACACCCACAGGAACCCAAGCTCTTATATCCAAAGAGTCACAGACCACAGTGGACACCTGGACCAGCTCCCCAGGAAACCCTGGTCAGAAGGATATCAGTGCAGCCCAGGCCAAAGTCACCCTCCAATACAAGTGGAAAACAGCATAAAGAAACATGTGCTCAGGGCAGTATTTCTCCAGAGAGCTATTTCAGATTCCACATAAGAGTAACTGGTGGCCTTGGATAAATCATTCCTCTCATTTATGTGCTGAACGGGAGAAAACAAGTCAACAACTGATGCATGCAAAAGCATTTGGAGGTGATGGATGGAGACATTATGGTGCATTTTGTCAATGGCATGCCATTAGAGAAAACCATTTCATAGAGTAAATTAAGAAAACAAACCAGCTACGTGACACACTTGGAATTACCACTGGCCAGACCGGTTTTTCTCCTCCAGGAATGAAGCTGCATGGGATTGACATTATCATTATCACTCAGACTCCCCTTGCTAGGTTAGCTGCCATGCTTGTCTGAGACTTAAATCCCCAGCCTGCACTTCCCTATAACGATGGCCACTCACATAAGTGGGCAAACCTAGCACAGATCCTTTCTTTTACTGCTCTTTTGGACTATCATTTGAATCTTACTGCTATTTACCTTTGTGTGTCAATATCTTGCTTTCCTCACCAAGTTATAAGGACCTTTCGTGACGAGAACTGAGTCTTGCAAATGAAGCTTGCTGGTACCGCACCGTGCCTGCAGTGCGCAGGAAATGTCTGCAGATTTCATCTGTCATTAACTTCTCCTCTCTTTCTCACATACCTGGCTATTGTCTGCCCAACACGGATTAATTCGTTAAGACAGCATTTCTTTGGGCATGCAGAAGAAGAGACCTGGTCGCTGACCTCAGGGAGCTCACTGGCAGACCCGCCACAATCACAACACGGAGCAGGGGGCAGTGCTCGTGGGGGACACGGCAGTACCAAAAGGAGGTGTTCTGGGTATGAGCAGGGGGATTCAGGGAAGGCTTCCAGGAAATAGGAGTCCCTTTGAAGGATTCAGTAGTTGGTACCAGAGCACTATAGCCAATGTGTGCAAGAGCATGTTGGTGAGCCCAAGCCTGCAGCATTTGGGTTCCAAGTCATTTGCCGTTTCAGAAGCTTCTACTGAAAATTTCGACCTATTCTCAAGGTCATCCACTAAGGTCAGGGCAGAAATGGGCTATGAAATTACAGGCCCCTTCCCTTGGTAAGCGGGCTCGGAGAGCACTCGGATGCACCTCATGGTAACCGTGGCTTCATAAAAATCAACGCTGATTGATGGGTGCAGGCTCTGCCTCTCCGTGTTTAGTCTATCGGTGCTTTTAGTACCACTGTGGCCATGCTTCTTAATGGAAATGCATTTCTCTCTCTCACCATTACCCAGATATAGATGCTCTCAGATATGAAAGGCCTTTTACCTCAAGATTTTTGTCTTGTGAGACACCCCTAATTCAGGAAGGATATAGGAGCAGTTGAGAAGAAAGTACCACAAATGTTTTGTCTTATAGTTTAAAGAGAGAGAGAGAGAGAGAGAGGAATTTAAAGAGTTCAGTTTATGGATGGCGTGGGTTTGTAGCTCCACTACCTTGATTTAGTCCAGTTCAAGGAATTCACTTTCTCTTGTGAAGGGCTCTGAATAACCTGGAAAAATAAGCTAAATAGTTCCTTTTGCACCCCCCCACCCCTCTTTCTTTTGCTTTAAGAAATTGTGATGGACAGCATAATAAAATCTTCCATGTATAATGATAGATCTCTGGGCCTAGGACCCTAGTGATATTAGCATATCAACTCTGATAAATCCATTGGGAGGTAGGAATTACCCCCATTATGCAGGTGTGGAATCTGAGTCTCAGAGAAGTAAAGTAGCACGTCCAAGGCTACCCAGATGGTAAATGGCATTGCTGGGATTTGAAAGCAAGCCCATCTGATTTCAAAGTCAGGGGCTCTTCCTGACACCCAATGTCTTCCAGACTGGACAGACACATGTAGGTCAAAACACGTGACAAAGAGCAACATCTCTGTTGTGGGAGGAGGAAACGGGTGCCCATCAGAGTTGTTATAGGTGGACTGGTTGAGAGGAAAGAAAGTGAATCCTCATGGGAACACTTGGAGGTCAGATGCTAAGGTTTCTTTCAAATAATCAGGTTTAATAGTAATAAACTACAGATAGGCAGAGGTTGTTTTCTGCTATAAAATCACATTCTGTCTGGCCAAACTGATCTCTCCCTCTTTGGTTATTCCTGAATGTCAAACTGGAAAAGCAGTTCATGCTCAAAATTAAGAACTCAAATGCCAATGTGGGGCTATCTCTTTTGATCTGCTGTGTGACCATGGTGGTGCCGCTGACCGTCTCTGAACTTCTCTTGAGTTGCAGGGGCACCAGGGAAGAGGGAGGCTTTTCTGAGAGCCTTTGGAATCAGTGTGGTTTTCTCTTCCATGGAAAGGCAAGATAGGAGCAGAAAAGTAGAGATGACATCTTGAAAAGGAAGGGAAAGTAGCTCTAAACTTCTGGAAGAACCTTGTCAGAGAGTGGACACACAGGCAGCGATCTTCCTACTTCATCACAAAGTAGGAGAAAAAACATTTTGCATTTAGAAGCTGACATCCAGAAGGGGGCCTGGAACCTTCTATAAAAGCACCTATTAAGAATGTCCGGTGCTGGAACCCTCCCCACATCCAAACGTCTCCTGCTCCAAACCCAGCAGTGTTTCCAAATGCCCCTCAGCTTATAGCCAATTTCTCAAAAAATTGAAGTAGACTTGAATTCACTTCGGTTTCATAATTAAATGAAAAGTAATGAAAACTTTTAGGGAAGTGGGAACAGGGCATGAAAAGATACTGAGAAACCAAAATAAAAGATGGATGTTCGGTCCTGATGGAGCAGCATAGCCTTGCTGGGGGAGGGCTGGGGGAGGGGACATTATTCTGGGCACAGCAAGTATTTTATCTGCAATTGACAAATCCCAAATCCTCCCAGCTTCTGTTTCTCCCTACTTAAGCCCTGGGTCACAGTATTTATTTACTTAAGTGACAGAGATGAAGGCAGGCTTAACGCTGGCCACCTGTCAGAAGAACAGTGACCTGCCTCTTAAGGGGGTTTCAGCAACACCCCCTCATCTTTATAAGACAAAAGGGGATTGGGAGAAAATGTAGAGAAAAAATTCACTAATTGAGCTTGAAGGAGAGGGTGACATGGAATGTAAAGACTCCAAGGAGAGAGAGATGCTGAGATCCACGGGTGCCATTTAAAGCAACTCTAAAGAGTACAGACCCCTTCCTCTCCTGAGATTAGAAGGGATTTGCAAAATATGATGCCCACCCTGAAAAGTCAGCCCCCCTTAGCTGCCTCTCACAAATGCCCTTGGGGTCCTTCATATTCTTATGAAAGAGGTTCATTATAGTTTCCAAGGAATGCAAACCAATACACTTTCTCAGAAATAATGCCACTGGTGCTCTTGAGGGTGAGGAGGCAACAGACAGGTCCTGCCTGGAGAATTTCAAGGCAGCATGGGGACCCTATTTAACAAACTGGATGCCAGGCAGTGATCTCCACAGCACAACTCACGGCCACTTCATCATCATCAACCCCCTTTTACGGTGATGGGAAGTACCCAGCCGAAGGCATCTGAGCCAGTCCGAGGAGGAGCTTGGACTTGGGCAGGCACACTGGCCCCAGGCTCTGTGCTCAGACCCACTACGGTGCGCTGTGTCTCAAGCAGAGAGGAAGCGGTCCCATCCGAAGGATGCTCCAACAGCTCCCACATAAGGGGTAAGACATGCCCCCAGACCCCTATCAGTTTTTTTATCAGCTCTTGAACGGCATCAACTTTTCTGGTCCAGAGGCCAGGTGATAAAAAGGGCAGGGCTATGAATTCAGACAGACCTGGTTTTGAACCTTCCATTTTCCTAGGGAAATTTATTTAACTTTTGGAGGCTTGGTTTCCTATCTATAAAGTGGGGCTTCTGTGACCTCTCCCAGGGTTTTGTGAGGGTTAGAAACAAAATATGAGACCTGCTCAGCAGAGTGCCTGGTGATGAAAGGACAGAAAGTGCCAATTTGTAAGAGCTATTTCAAATGTTCCTTTGTTAGAAGGCCCAGTGGAGAAAGCTTCAGGCCTTTGGACAGTCACCCTGGCCCTCCTGGAGGCTATTCATACATATGGAATGGTGAACCTGGACCATGAGCCAGTCTACCCTGTAGATTTAGCAGGCTGGGTTGCTTCCTGCCCCCTCACAATGGAAAGCAATTTCAGTAAGTGCTTAGCTTAATTAGTTTGGGTCCAGACGTGCTGTCAAGAGCTGTACATGCACACTTGTCATCGTGATCGTCCACCTGTCTCTGGAAAGCCTGCTTTTCCAGAAGTCTGAGCTTAGCTCCAGATGAAATTTCCATTCAGTCACCTCTCACTCCAGCTCCCTAGGAAGAGCCCTGAAGTCAACACCTTCTTCTATTGATGTGGCAGATCAGAGGAGGGTTGTTAACTTCCCACAGTACCTCTTTTGGCCCATCATGGCTACTATGGTCATGGGCCACCTCTGCTTGGGAAGCTCAAGCATCTGTTAGGAGAGCTCAGACCAAAGTGTCCACCACACACTCTGGGTGGCAGCCAAGACGCTTAATCAATATTAACAACTAAGATGGTTACACGTGAGTCTGAGCTGGACTTCTGGCCTAAAACATTCTCTCTACCCAGTGGGTACTGAAATCAAGAATTCTTTTCATCGGTTACACCAAGAGTCCACAAGAGAAGGAGGAAAGGAAAATCTGCCAGAATACAACCCAAGGGGCACTGGAATGTAGACTTTTGGGCTACACTGCAGTTTCAAGATCATGCTGTTTTTCTTCAATGGCTGTTCCAGAGAATATAAAAAAGACATTACTTAGTTTACCACACCGCACCGCCGCCTGTTGAGTGCTGGCTGCCATAACATTTTAGTGATGGACATAAAGAAAGAACAGCAAGGGGGTGACAGTGACCGCTCCTGGGGACAAATGACACTGAGTAGTGGTTACTCTCTTACCCACTGGTTCACCCTCTCACCACCAAGCACACAGCCACGATAGCATCTGCAGCCTCCACTGCACGGTGACCCTTCCTATAGAAATTACAATGGCCAAGACGAAATATTCACCCTCTGAAACCCACGGCAAGATAGATGACAGTGTGATGTAAGGAAAGAGTAGACTGAGTGCCTTATCGATCTACCTGCCAGCCTGTGAATGATGGGTAATAAAAATTTATTGAAAATCAGGAAAAAAAATCACTTATTCTAATTCTTCTGGAAGGCAGTACTAATGTTGCATATGAATAAACCCCCTCCTTCCCCAGGACTAAAACCACCATCCTACCAGCCAACCCTCCAAACAGGACAGATTTAAAAATCTTGCAATTTTATTTGCATATAAAGGCCGCTAGATATAGAATATCACAATAAATTTAAAAGAAACAACTGCTTTCCTAAATTTCATTAACAAGATAACATAAAATAGAATAAAGCTCAACAGCATTTACAATGGGAAAACAGAAATGACTATTAGCGACAATATTTTGTGCTAGCGAAGATTGCATCGACACACAGTGCAAAATGGGGGGAGGGAGAGGAAGTAAGAAGACAATTCAGGGTATTTAAATATAAAGGACGACTAAGCCTCATTTTAGTTACCTTCCATTGCATCCACTTAAGTCTGTACATGCCTGTAATTGTACCTAGACTTAACTCAAGCTCTTTGAGACCTTGAGTTCTGAGAAAATGTGTCAGCCCCTTCGGACTTCTGATGCCCTGCTATAAAGCATTCCTTCGCAGTTGTCCTTGGCAATATTAAACTCCTAACTTAGCCATAATACACAAAAAATATTTATATATATATAAACCCATACTGAAAAGGAGTCTGTGCGCTCAACTGTTCTTTTAACTGCATGAAATACCTGCTCTTGACAGATTCCATTTCCATATTTTTAAAGCTAAAATAATTTAAAAGAAACAAACAATGAGACCTTGTATAACCACAATATGGATCTCACTAGCTAAGCCATCCTTTGAACGAGGGCCATTTTCTTCCCTGGACGCAGCTTTCTTTATAGTGAGAGTGTGAAGAGAAGTCTTTTCCACGCCTACTTTTGCTGAAAAGATTGCTATAAATCCAGGCCAAGTCTGCAAAAAAGAAGGGTTACCAAGAAAACAACAACAACAACAACAAAACATCAAAAAATAAAATACTTCAAACAATACTCTTAAACAGTTGTGCAAATCTGGGTGGTTTTTAAAACACTACCTACCTGTTTCTCTCTCTTTTTTTTTTTCCTTTTTCTTCCAGCTTAAAGCATATTAAAATAAGACTTTCATCACCTTTTAAAAAGAAAGCTTGGCTGTCCTTTGGCGAATACTAACAATTTACAATGGCGTGGCCTTTGAGAAAACGGAAGTCATTTTACAAATTCACAATGCTCCTTTCATTCCGAATGGACGCCCCATTAAAAAAAATAATAATAAAGAAGAAGCACAACCTCTAGCGACATTTGTGTTCCAGTAATTTACAAAAAGAACTCACAGGATTTGGAAATAAACAAGTAAGAGAATGTAAGTTTGTAATTAGAAAAATGGCAGTTTATAGACCTTCCCTCACATTCCAATTGGACTTTTAGAGCTTCAGGAACCCTGTGGGTTTGGAAGGTCAAATATAATTGGAGGGTTGGTCGGCTGAAAGCTGACTGTACACGTTGAGGCATTGATGTACGTTGTATAACCGTCGGTCATAATGCCGTAACCTGTGGAGACAGAGTGTCATGCTTACTGCAATATATACAAATGACAGTGACTCAGTGCTGAGCTGTCAGGCAAGGAAAACCAAAAAAATCTTTGCCAGTGGGCAGTGAGATAAGATTCAATGAAGCCTCCCCAGATGATAACAGCTTTCAGAAGCTGCCTTCCAATTACATTCTGTTTTCTTTAAAGGGAGAATCCTCTACTTCAAAGAAAAGTGATTCATTTTTTCCTTATTTAAGCATTAGCTTTGTCAGGGAAAGACTGTGATTTCTTTACTAGTGAGAATAAAGAAAAAACATTTTTTCCCTCTTTTTAAAATATGATTTTCATTTCAAAGCCCTGCATTAATTACTGAGTTCTAGGAACAGAAAGAGTAACGTAAGAGACTCCTCAGGGTACCCACATCCAAACCCCAGATGGGCTTTGGGACAGGTGAGGAGGGAAAGAGCACTGCACTGGGATTCAGGAGGGGCGGATGCTCAGGTTCCTTATCTATGAGATAATCTCTAAACTGCCTCAATGAAAGTTAACAATATGTGATCTTATCTCCCTCTAATTGTGTGGCTTTGGTGCTGAGTTCTCTTTCATTCAAATAAGTCAAGTAATCAAATATCCAAGTGATTTGCAGAGACCCCGCCACAGGATCGAGCAAAAACACTTCCCACATGGCAGTATATAAATCTCTTGTGACCTATTGGAAGGAAGCTAAGGAAGTTTTTCTGGGTCTTTCGTATGTATGTCCCTTTTATAATTTTTAATTTGTTGAAATTTTTAACATGTTTGCAAGTTTGCACATTTCCCTGGATACCTTATATCTACCTTAGAGTCTCTGCATTGAAGTTTGTAATTCTGTGTTGGTCTCAGGCTCTTATGGAATAGAAAAATATGCACGTGAAAAATTAAATTACCAGGACTTCCAGAAATAACTGAGGTTTTTTTCCCTCTTTCCATTTGCTAAAATTTGTCCAAGTAAGCCTGTGGAGAGCTTAATGAGGGCCAATGGAAAAATCTCTTAAGAAAAGAAAAGAGGCATTTAAAATGTGCACTGTTTAGTTCTGGGGTCATAAAGTCTTGTTATCTCTCTCCATCAAGAGGTTGGTATTTGCCCTCTCTCTGCCCTCTTCAGCTGTCTTAAGTGAATAAAAGTGAGACAAGTTTATTTGAATATGATCTCCTGCCTTTTAAGCAAGTTTATTATTTTGGGACATCAGTGGAATTCCCCAATTGTCTGGCTAGTTTAAAGCTAATTAATGATTTAAAAAAACCAAAAACCAAAAAACACGGATGAAATACAAACTCATAGGCATGCTGCAGGAATTCAAGCCTGATAACTGTCCCCAGAAATGCCAGTTAGACATGAGCTCCCATCCCCCACCCCCGCGCCAATCCTGGATCATGCCTTAGAGAAATGCCCCCTTTTCTGGGACTACAGCTCAAAGTCAGGGTAGGATGATGCCCACTCTTGGGAAGCTGCACCCCTGCATTCCATGTGCTTGGCTGGCGCCTGCACTTGGAGCACGATGAATTTTCTTAGGCATTAGTAGGATGATTTTCAATGCATATGCTTTTAATTCCATGCCTAACCCGGAAGCCAATAGATTTGTGGGTTTTGAAAAGCACACTTCATTTTTTTGCTTCATCAGACACATAGGCCTAAACAACTCGCCTGCAGATTCCTAAATGACTCCAGAGGACAAGCTGAAAGCAGAAGCTGGAGAAAATACGGCAGCTGCCTATGTAAAGGCACCCCCGGCACACAAACCCTCAGAACTGGGAGAGACCAGCAGGGCCAGAAAAGCGAAGACCTGTTGAAAGACAGCTTTGTAGCTGTCTAAAAACCCTAGCTTAAAAAAGGAAGGAAAGACAAAACCTAGAACCGTAAAGTTTCTGGGAGGCTTTCAGTTTTGTGAACTCGACTCCAGCTTAGCATGAAAGGCAGAACTAGAGGCAACTGGACCAGTTCCCATTAAGGCGAGATTTAATCATTCTGTTTAGCCTCAGCCTGACCTAAGAACGCCGATGATTTCTGAGAAGTCTGAAATGGTTTTCTGAGGTTAGTAAGGAAACAACTACCTGCAAATGTGCAGTTCCTGCCACTTCTGTTCTGTAACTTTCACTGCGTGTCCCAAGTTATTTGCTTCAGAGAATGCCTTGTCTTCCTTGGTCTTCATATGTGTTCCATATGAAACAGTATTTACAGGTAGAAAGAGGTCACGGAAGTTATTTAGTCTAACATCTAGGCCATTTCTTCTAACTATCTTAAAGAAAAAAAAATTGTCCTTTTTGACCTCAGGGCTCCTCTACAGTGGTGGTTAGCAAACGTTCCTCGTCAGAGCCCTGAGATTCCAGAAGTTGCCTGGAGGAGTGCTGGGTTTTCTGGAAGGTGAACCAGACCTGGTTCTTTCTCTCCACTCTGCTTAAAAGAGAGCAGCTCCGTATAAAATCTGTATCAGCTTTTCAGGCAGGTGTTTCTCCTAATCCTTCATCTTATATAAGGGTTCTACCACTGGTAAAAGTTGCTCCAGTCATTCCCAGGGTAGCCAAGGTCCCCATTCTGGAATGAGATCATGGCTAATGACATATCTGGTGAACTCCTTTCATCCGGTCTTACCTTCATGGATTCCACCAAATACATGGAGTTTGGGCCGAACTCGCCTCTGGACCGTGTTTAAAAGCTCCACGCAGCCCACTCTTTGAAGCTCCTTTGGAACCCAGTCTCGAAAGCCTACGGGCAAAATGCAATCAATACTCTTAATTTTCCTTCTTCAGGTAAGGTTTCATTTAGACTTTCAGGAAGCCATAACTCACAGAAGGTTTATTACATTATCTGTAATCCTAGCCTCTCCATTAAAGCTCACAATGGCTTTTAAGTAACTTTTCACTTGTCACTTTGTCTTCTTTAGGTTCTTGAAAAAAAATTTTTTTTTTTTTTGGTTTCCATTTTTTTTTTCCTTCCTGTTAATTAACATTTTTTTTTTTTCCTGTAAGGGATTTGATTTATGCAGCCCCGGTTTCAAATCTTCATGGGCCTAATGACATTTATTCCCGGCAGTCCCGCAATATCTCTTTCTTTGAATATTCAGTTACTTTCTCCTTTTTTATTATATCTTTCTTATAGCAGTTTACTTCTAAGATGGCTCAGAGAAGACAGGCTAGGAGAGGCTGTCCGTAAACTGGCCACCAGATACCTGGCTCTCCTTAGGTACATCAACTCTTAACCTTTGGTGGTTCCTGCTGACCAAAGCTTGGAATTGTCAAGCTCCTCCTGCAGTCTCATCTCTAGCAATAGGCAACAACGTGACCTCGTGGTGGCATCCCGTAAGCTGGGGCTAATTGACTACCTTTAAAGTAAAAGCCACTTACTTCTATGCTTAATGCAGAAAATCCATAAAGACTGACATCAATTATAGCACAAGTCAGGTATCTGAATGATTATCGTCAGAAATGGAACCCATATGCCTCAGCAGGATGGGTGTAAAGAAGGCATGTGGGACTAACAGCTAAATCGCCATCAGTGGGAATCCATACCACAGCTCCGTTAGGCGATTTCTACTATTTAGAAATGATCGGGCAGAAATCGACAGACAAGCTTATTCCACTTTGGCAAAACTGTAGAAACGAAAATAGAGCATCTCTGTAAAAATATGTTACCTGGGGTGTGGGAGGGGGAGTGGCCGGAAAGAACATCAGATGAAAAAGGGGGGCCCTATAAAAATTCAACCAGGGATTTCAAAACTGTTAATTAAAGGAAAAAATCCTTAATCCACAGTGATTGGCATATTCCCTCATGAATGTGTTCTTCTCAAAGGGGGAAAATATCTTACTCATATACGATCAACCTGAGAAGGCATCCTGCTTCTACCATAATAGTAAAGTCTTATAGAGAGATGGCTTTCCTTCTCAGCAGGACAGAATTCAAGGCCAATCTCCATCCCACACCCCAATCCAGCATTTTCACAAGAACCCCGATAATGCACTGATTAAGGTTCAACTTCACCGTGCCTGACCTTTTATTTTGGAACTCCTTGATGAAGAACTCACTTTGCTGTATGCACAGCCACTCTCTGGATTACTGCATGTTTGCTACAAAGAGAGGGACGGTAGCCTCCCTATGGAAAGTTCCTGGGATGTCTGAATTCTTCGGAGGCTAGAATTCAGACTTATTACTACTGTCACTGGCTTCTGTACCAAAATTAGTGGCTTGATGAAACTGTGAATCAATTGTTCTGTTCAAAGTTGTGTTCCAAATAACACTTGAGTCATGCAGATGTTTCTGTGCTGAGAATATCCAAGTCTTATTTACAATAAACAGCCTAAGGGGAATCATGTCTGTACCCAGGAGGCTGCTCAGGCCAAGGATCAAGTTGGCTGGGATGCTCTCTCTGTAGGTCTCGCTGGGCAACTCACGCTGATCAGAATATTTAGCTAGCAATTCAGGAGTTAGTCTCTAATAACTGCAAAATAGGGAAATTAATTAATTACGGATGATACATGTTGTTGGTAAGTATAATCTTTTAAAACATGGGATGGGACAGGATAGAATAGGGAAAAAAGCATGCGGATGGTGATTCCGAAGTATTGAAAAAGTCAGGAATTGCTAGATCTTGTGCAAATCTGGACAATTTCCCTATCTGCAACAAAGTTGGCTCCTCTTCTCTTGCTTCTCCCTATCGTTAAAATGTACCACCATAACTCATGCCTTGGTCCTCCCTTCGGCTGTTTCTATGTGAAACGCAGATGACCGCCTTGGTAAAGGAAAGAAAGCAGTCCTAAGTGGGTTGGAGGAAACAATATTTACAAGGATTAAATTCACAGTAGGGGACATGTGTTAGATTTTTTTATTTTTCAGGTTGACAGAGGAGGGAAGTGATATGGACAACAACCCCAAACCACGGGGAAAATTGTGAGAATAATTTATTTTGTATTAAGTGTTTTCTTCCTTTTTCTAAACCAAACTTTGCTAGTACTGTACATTTGGACATTTAGTAGGAGCGCAGATTTCATGTTGTGTTTTTTATCACAATCGAAGAAAAAGAAAACTCTCCTACTGAAAGTGAAGTATCTGAATGTCCTGAGGACACCTTTGTTGGACAGGAAGGGTCCTGGCGTAATAGATACCAGACAGATGGGGATCAAGGTGATAGGAGCATTTGAAAAATGTTCCGTGGCTAAGCCAAAGAGATAACAAGTTCTTGAATAATTAAAAGATAATTATATAAGTCAAAGAATCATCTTCTGGACCATAATCTGCATAACTAAAGATGGCTTTGAAGTACACTGGTGGGTGATCTAAACTGGGTGTAGGTTCAAAGATTCTGTAGGATGAGTATCTTTAAGTAACTTTCAACATAAATCCTTACTTAACACCTTAGCTTTAAAAAAAAAAAAAAAAGGATTCTTTGCTCCTATAATCAGCTCAAGTGTTAAACTTTTAAAGATTTCCTAGGAAATCTTTATGGAAAAGGAAAATGAGCTACTTTACCTTATCTTTGGGGGGAGGAGAGAGAGAGAAAGAGAAGGGGGACAGAGGGAGAGGGAGAGAGAATCTCAAGCAGACTCCGTGCTGAGCACGGAGCCCAATGGGGGGGCTCAATCCCACTACCCGAGCCGAAACCGAGAGCCAAATGCTTAACCAACTGTGCCACCCAAACACCCCAAATGAGCTACTTTAAACAAAAGTTTCCATCATTTCATTCCTTTGCAAGCCCACTGGTTGGGAGGTCTATGTCTATGTCTTCCTTCCATTCCCCACTCCACCTCCCTCACTCCTAAGTGAGTATAGTTCTTAAAATAAATGATCAAGCTCAAAAGACTGTGGTACTCCATACTCATTTGATTTTCCCTGACTCAACTAAATAAAAAAATTTAATTTCAAGAACACCTGTAAGCCCAGCAGAACTGCTGAGTTTAATTATCATACTGGTTTCTTTTAAAGACATTGACTTTTCTTTTTGTGTTCACTTTTTATTTTTTGAAGGAAAACGATTATATCCCTGAAGCATTTGTTATGTTTTATTATTATGAAAAAAGGCATCTCTTATGACAAAAGGACAACCTTTGCTTCACTTACCTAGAGGAGGTCCGTGGGTCATGAGTATGTCAATGCCCTCAGGGATGAGGTTCCACTTGTCCAGCAGAGACTGACCTCTGGGCAGGTTAAAGCCCCATCCATTAAACCACGGGGTCCTTTGGGGGAGATAACGCACACGGTATCAGGCCAGCAGAGCCGCGTTTCCGCTCTACAATATTTCTCTCTCGCACATTCCCTGCACGGTTTGCATTGCTCTCTTTTCTCTTTTTGATGGTTGGCCCTGGCAGCAGGATGCTTTTTTGTTGACTGCTTCAAAACCAGGGCATTTGAAAGCAAGTGTGGAGCCGGCGAATTGTTCAACCAGAAAGGGGCACAAGAGTCTTTACAGTGGAGACTTTCCCAGCAGACCTCTATCAAAATTTTAACAATACTTTGTCTTCTCCCCTAAATCTCCATGCTTCCTAAGATGTCTAGTCCCAATCCAAAGCATTTCCACCCTTCCTGCAGTATCCGAGAGATCAGAAATTCCATCAGTACTCCTTCCTCCCCATCACTGTGACACTGCTTCCCCAGAAGGATTCTTACTAGCCTCCCTGGCGAAAAGGCAAGTGCTCTGAAGGCACAGCGTGAACCCCTGTACAGGGAGATGTTCTGAACAGCCTGGACTGGGAACGCTGAAAAAATATAGGGGCTCTGACAGGTGAGAGGGGGGACAGGGAACAAAGAGCAAATGTGGGCTTTTCCTCCTGTCATTAAAAGGAAAATTTGGGGGGTCATTCTGGAATCTGCTCTCCTGGCAGGGAAGGTAAGCAGTCTACCCTCTTGGAAACTTCTGCTTCACGAATGAGTTTCTGAGACTGACTGCTTCATGCAGAAGTGAATGGGGTTTTGGTCCATCCTGTGAGCACCTCTAATTGGAGCTGAACATGCGTCTACCATTTATAATAACATGAGAATAACCAATTTTTCTCTACAAATACTACTGGCTAAATCACATCAGAGCAAAGCAGTTCCCAGTGCTGTCCTACTCCCGAACATCTAGCTATAACCTTTATTTTCTGAAAACGACTCTTTCCCCTTCTGTAGGAAAACTCCAATTTGCTAGTGCATACATGCAAAAGACAAGCTGGTCAATTTTCTGGCTAAGCTGAACTTTCCATGCCTACTGAGAGGTGACCCTGTGTCCAAGGCAACCTGGTCAATCACAGCTAACCAAATGAGGTCACTCTTATTTAAAGCCAGTCACGGGCCAGACTATCAGACCCTCTCAAGACTCAGAACTCAGAATGGTGGGGGGTATGTATAGGTAAGGACAGGGTGAAAGGAGGCCAACTGAAAACCATGTGAAAATCCATCTCACAAATGAGAACCTCAGTTCCCACTGAGGCGCTTGAAAGAAAGTTCCAGAGATAACAGACTGTGTGGCCCCAGCTAAAAAAGTGAAACCAAGAAAGTATCTGACCTGGTTCCTAGAATTATTGTCCAAGTTCCTAAGCCATCCTCATGGGCTTACTTATAATACCAATAATAACTTCAAAGCTATTAATTGTTGAGGGCTTACTCCATGTCAAGGAACTATTCTAAACACTTTATTTGTATTAACACATTTAAATTTCACAACGAGCTCATGAGGTAGCTACTAGTATTAACTCCATTTTACAGATGAGGAAACCGAGGCACAGAGAGTTCAAGTAAACACAACCAACAAACTGGATATGAACCCCAACAATCTGATTCCAAAACCCATACTCTTAGCCATCACACAACTCCTCTTCTTACATAGTACTTGAATTAACTTCCTACCTGCTCTGGGTGAGCTCGTACTCTATTTTAAGTTTGAGTGTCTTGTTGCTTGAAGCCAAATGAGCTCTGAACTGGGATCAGGTGCATGGTTCTGAAATCCAGCAATGAGATGGTGGAGTGGACACCCATGGTTTCTGCCTGCCCAGCTCTTTCACCCTTCTTTTGGTAATGGCATCTGAATTTCTTTGGAGAACCTCTCCCTCCCCCTCTCAGTACATGTGCTGTGCTAAGGCTGACTCATCGCTGCTCTAGGATCTCTCTGAACAGAGACTGGTCTAGGGATGTACATATGACCAAGCTGGGAGTCATCCTCAGGCTTTTGCTGGTGCTACTGAAAAAGAGCCCATGGGTTCCTCTCTGGGGTCCTGGGATCCTTGTGTGGGCTTGGAATTGCCTGGGAGCTTTGGTCTCAGCCACCATGCTGACAGCCTGTGCTTGAGGGTGAAACCATTACAAAAAAAAAAAAAGAAAAAAAGAAAAAAACCAAGCAAAGAAACAAGTGTACCCAGATGATCTTGTTGGACATATGGATCCAGCTGTGCCTAAAGCCAATCACACATTTCCTTCCAAGTGTATAAGCTAATAAAATATTTTTCTTTGTATTAACTTGAGTTAGGTTCTGTTTCCACAAGTGATAAAGAGTCCTAATACATAAAACTGTTGTATTTAGCTTAAAAATGACCTCTGTACTTACGGTAGGCAACAATGTCTGCACCCACTCCCACCCCAAAGATGTCCATGTCCTGATCCCTGGAACCTGTGAATATATTACCCTACCCGGCAAAAGGAATTAAGGATGCTGATGATGGAGTTTGGGAGCTCATCATGCTGACCTTAAAATGGGGGAGATTATCCTGGATTATCAAGGGGGTAATCACATGGGCCACCCAAGGCTGAGGAGGGAGGCAGAAGAGGAGAATGGAGTGATGTAACGTAAGAAGGACTCAACCTGCTGTTGCTGGGCTTTGCATGTGGAGGAGGAGGAACAGAAGCCAAGGGACGTGGGCAGCCTCCAGAAGCTGGAAAAGTTAAGGAAAGAAAAGGAATTCTCCCACAGAGCCCCCAGGGAAAACAAACAAACAAACAAACAGAGCCCCGCTGACATCCAGAGTTTAGCCTAGTGAAACCCATGTCAGGCTTCTGACCAGCCAATTGGAAGACCATAAATAGGTTCACTAAACTTGGGGTGATTTGTTACAGCAACGAACAGGACACTAATACAGTCCCTAACAGGTCTGAGCCGGCTGGCTCTACCCTCCAGGAGCTGTAAGTGGCGCCCGGTCTCACGAAGCACACGTGCAATCAATCAGCACAGATCTTGGCAGCCACACTGCCTTGCTCAGCTAGACGCTGTGCTCTGGGTTTCCTCGGAGGAAAAGGCAGTGCTTGCTTTCTTATCCTGGGCTGCCAGGGAGGCACAGACATCACAGGCCTGGGGGTAATGCCAGCTGGGCCCTTTCAGCGCTCAATTAGTCCATCTTGCTTGCGTTTATCTTCTAGGACTTCCTATCTTCAGGTTCTTAAACATTTTCATTAGAGTCTGAAAGAGACCTTTCCCAGTTTGGGATGCCCATCCTTCCCGTTCATTTTACCGTGACCCCTTTCCACGATCTGTCTTAAAAGTAAAAAGAAAAAAAAAATGCAAGTTCAAAACCCAGTGAAAACTCAGTGAGCATTTTGGCATGAGAGAGAGAAAAATAAGCAAAAACATCTGTTTTCCTAGATTTCGAAAACAAGCTTCTGGGCCTATGGTTTCTGTCTAAATGGCAAATAAAGAAGGCTTGAAAGAGTCCCAAGTACACCCAAGTAGTTGGTACAATGAGTAGTTGGTACTCTGATTTCGCTGCTAGAGTCTGTCTGTGGGCAGTCAGCCTCTGGACCCCCAGGTCATCCCAGGGGATTCCAAAGTCAAAGGAACAAGACTTCAATTTTCAGTCTTTCTAATTTTCTCTCACAGGGTCTTCTCGGGAAGCCCACAGCCCTAGTACCCCAGGAAGTGCTCAGTTTTATAAGTGCTTTGCAAGAACAAGACAAGCTCATTGTCTTTGGAGACCCCAAATTTCATTTGGTTAATGTTAAGCTTGTGACAAAATCCAGAAGTTTCCAAGTTAAGGGTAAACTTTAAAAATATCTGGCTTTCATTTTTGACTCAAACCTGTATGTATGTGTATGAGACTGAGATAGAATTTAAATTATAAGAAAAGGAACATTTATCAAGGCCCTGATATGCTTTACACAGAGGTTTTACATAGACTATTAAACTTAATTACTCATAACAATCCTTGAATTATTATTAACAATCCTTGAGTACTACCAGCTCTATTTTTAGATAAAAAGGCGGAAGATCAGTGATCTCCAGTAACTTGTCAATATTCCCAGGATTGGCTAAGTAGTGGAGCCCGGATTCCAACACGGATCTGCTGGCTCCAATGCCTCTGTTTCTCCCTTGCACAAGGCTGAACTAAAACCTTCTAGACCAATGACGGTTTTGACTCCCACACTTACAGAGTAAAAACAGGGCTGCTCTATACAGTCTCTTAGGCTGTGCACTGTACAACCTCAGGGGGTGCCGTGGGACTGTGTGATCGAAGTGGCTCCTAGTAAAAGTGGAGTGTGACTTCAGTGATGTTATTATGGCTTTTATGGGATAATTTCTCTTCCTTTAGATCCTCCAGATAAGGCCTTTTCCACAAGACAGTGGCCAGGCAATGGGAAAAGCAGCCCAGTGACGGGTTCCACAATTATCCCAGCATGGCCGTAATAAATAGGGGCACACAGAAGAGACCCGTGTGCTTATTCTATGCTGGCATCCATTTACTAACTCACGTGAACCTCTGCTAAGAGAGGGATGGTCAGTGGGCCACTTTCCTCATCTGAACAATGAATGAGTACATGGGTTTGATTACTGGATTTCAGGATTGCTTGTAGGAGAAATCTCATGCAGGAGCCCCACACCCAAAGCAGGTTCATGCAGGGGTGCTCTGGCTGGAGGGTGGGAAGAAGGGGCTCTGAACCTGCTCACTCACTCGGCTCCCTCCTCCTTTCTGACCTCTGCTTCTAAGCAAAGCCAGCAAAACCCGGCACTTGATGGTCCTTCTGTGATCAAGAAATCCTAACATTCGGTAAGTCTGTGCAGACTATCAATGTTCTAAATACTGTGAATCACTCTCAATGAACTGCCTAAATTGCCTATAAGGGACCGAGTCCAATGTGGAAGAAATAGCTGCACAGAGCCGAGACCAAATGTGTCAGCATCAATGAATAATGCTTTATCCAGTTGAGTTTCAACCTGAAACATGAAACCCCAGCAGTGAGCCCATCAGGGGTTCACTGGAAAATATGTGCACAGTCG